GGGACCCGATCCCGGGACTCCAGGATCATGACCTGAGCCGAAGGCAGTCGCTTAACCAACTGAGCCACCCAGGCGCCCTGAATTTTAAATTTTATTTAATGTTAAGAAATATCAATTTAGATAGCCATGTATGGCCAGTGCAGCTCTATGGGACCTGGCAGTCCGAGGCATGAACACGTTGGATGGACTCAGGGCTGGGGATTCACTGGGTGGCTGTGAAGGTGGACACCTGGGCCAGGAGGACAGGTTCTGACAGGGGTGGCTACAGGGGTGGACCCTGGGGCCCAACAGGGAGAGGGCAGGGGGAGTAGCCACGAGTTGGCTGGTCGGTGATACGGATGCCAGGGTGTCATGCCACCAGGAGAGACCTTCTCGCCAAGGACTATGTGACTCACATGTCCTTTCCAGCTCATTACCTCACCCAGCTCAGAGGCTCCTGGGAAACTGAGGCTCTGATGATATGGAGGGGACTTAAATAGTCTCTACCATGTAGTCTAGTGGGGGAAACAAAAGGAACCTGGTCAAGGCCCTGGTAGAGGGATACATGCATCACCAACTCAACAAGGTGGACGACTGAGGTGGAGCAAGGGTCCGGTGCCAAGAGCTTCTCCACATGCCAAGGCTACTGCAACACATGAGCCAAAAAATCCCTGTCCTCCCAGAGCACAGTCTAGACCTGAATCGGATAATCACAGATGAATATATCATTACAAACTGCAAGGAGCTCTATGAAGGGTAAATACAAGAACTCATGAGAGCCCATGATGTGGGGCCTGATCTTGTCTGGAGGTCAAAGAAGGCCTTCCTAGGCAGGAGACATTGAGCTGAGATCTGAAGATGACTAACCAGGCAGAGAGATGGGGAAGAATGTGTCTAGGTAGAAAGACTATCAGGTAGACAATGAACTGGAAGAGGGGAAGACTAGAACCTGGGTGATCATCTCTGCCTGTAGTAAGAAAGGTAGAATTTCCATTTTGGACATGCCGAGTGTAAGGTAGGTGTTGGGATTACATACGGTCAGAGGCTTTCATATGTTTTGCTCACACTGTGCCTCCCAACACCTAGAACCATGCATGTCTTTCGGTTCTGGCCTTTAACTCCTGAGAACTTACTGTACTGGATATCGTGTATTATCTTGTAGCACGGCCACCTCCCCTGGACCTGAGAAACCTCTCCACCATCCGGGAACATGCGTCTCTAACCAGGACCTGCACTGTACCTTGGTATGTCTTTGATTGCTCAAAGGGACCTCATCCAGCACAGGCACTCCCGGTTTTAGTTAAGACTCTGACTAAATGTAGCTGAAGCCCACTTGATCTAGCTTAAGTCAAAGGAGAGATGGGGTTTGTTATCATGAGCCAGAAATATTTTGTAGATCACAAAGGAAGGAATATAACTGGATGTCCCAGGATGCTGGAGTTAGGAACGAGCTGTTGGGAACCCAAAGAACTCTCCACCTCTCACGTCTGCTTCTCTCTTCACATGACCGTAGATCCTGAGCTTATTTACATGCTATAATTCCAGTACCAGCAGAGATAGGCTCTTTTTTGACCCCAACTCACATTTCCTGGGAGAGGGAGTTGGCCTGCCCCAGCCTGAGTGGAGTCACCTGTGGCCAGTAGTACCAACACAGCTTCCAGAAGCCCAGCCTTGTGAACGAGTAGGAGGAGGGACTTCTCAGAGAAAGAGGGATGGTGCGTGGACCTGGCAGACAAACCCCAAATGTGTCTGCACTCTCTCATCTCATCTTTAAGCAGTAGTATTTTCAGAGTCGTGGGCCTGGCCCAGGAGTTTCCTGGTTCTCTCTCTAGGCCACAGGATACAGTTACTTTGCAAAGCACACCTCTGCAAAGAGCTCTATTTCCAGTCATGACTGCAGAGAGATGCAGTCTGTGCTTCTGACTCAGGAGTAGGGTGAAAATTGATTTGCAGTCTTGTTCTCATCCCATCAGAGGAATGGTCACACCTCATTACTTTTGCCAGTAACTTTGAGTGGAAACAAGAGAGCCCCAAAGGAGCGTTTTGTTTTTGTTTTTGTTTGTGTTTTTTTTTTTTCTAAATGATATGATGCCTTGGTCTGTTTCTAGAAAGCTTGTGAGCTCTAACACATGGAGGGTCTGGAAAAAAGTAACCCTTAAGAATTAGGAGCCATTCGCCCCAGAATGGGACAGAAGCTGGGCAGTCTCTACTGCTTCAGGAATCGCTTTGGCCAGAAGGAAATTGTATCTGGAAGGGGAGGGCCGAAAAGCCCATGGGGACCATGTCAGTTCCTGGCTGGCTTTCAGAGCAGCTGTAAGACATTGCTTTGACCTCATCTATATTTTTGTTCTCAGCAATCGAACCAGATTTCTCTCTCCAGAAAGAAACGGTATTAATTCTGCAAGATTTTTTGCCAATTCTGTTTCCAGAGAAGAGGAAGAAAGCTACATCCAAATGGTAATCCTCTGTTTCACACTCTTCATATGCTTCACCCCAATGTATATTCTTAAGAGTTCATTATAAAGGAAACATGAACTTGAGAAAGCCCCCTGCAATCTGAAAACAGTCACTTGAATGTGATACCAGGTTACTGGGAACAAATCGATTTGAAGCTGGTTTTCTTTCCTGCAATATCCAGCTCCTCCTAGCATTTGGAGGCCGTGCTATTGCAAGAGCACCCAGGGTTGAGGCACGTGTAATGGGAGAATGGAAATGTCGGGCGTTCTTTTCACCAAGGCTGTGATATCCTGTTTGATCTCAATGACTTTGTAGCTCCTTGGATGTGCAGAGCAAACTCACATACCCTGTGTTCCTTTCTGCCAAACCACCTGAAGGATGAGTCACTTGAGTCCCAGTGGGAGGGAGGACAGTGTCCTGGGCTGTGAATGTGTCTTAGTCTCTGGAGACTCGGGCTATAGGGTCTTTCTGTAGATCTGAGCAGATAGAAACGTGACATCTCTATCCTTTAATTAAGTAATTAATCTCCCCTTCCTGCCCTGTGTTGTTCCTTCCGTTCTCTTTACCTTGGATTCTATTGGCAGCATGGGTTTTTGAAGACAGAGGGATTTTTAGCACCTCTGGGAATTATGAAGCATGTTAGCCAGGACCGAGCCTGTTCTGGAACTTAATGTAGAGAACTCCAGAGAGAATCTGTGTTTGACCGATGAAGTTTTGAAAAGAGATCATAGAAGACTGCTATTCAAGGCACTGTGACTATATGTACTTTTGAAAAGACAGTTGTGGCCCTCCTATGCGTGAGGTTAGTAGGCAAGTGAAAATCTAAACACGGTCATCTCCAGTGAAACAGTAATTAAATGCTTCATTTTGCCTTTCTATTTGATAAAAATTGTGCTGTAAGTTCACTTAACCATATGCAGATGGAAGGTGACTCATATACAAATCTGCTGTGGTCTTCCCGATGTTTTTCACACTTAGTAATGGCCCTTGGGAAACTTCTAGAAGAAAACACTCTTATAAAGGATACTGACCAGCTGTGCTCTGTCTCCAGAGAACAGAAAAGGGAAGTGAATCTCTAACCTAATAGAAGCAAGTGCAGAGTCATTCCAGATACTAGCAGTTCATCCCTGATCTTTGAGGTTATGAGAAAGCCCAGTATTTAATTAACAGCACAGTTACGGATTGATTTCTTGCCTAAGTTTATAATCATTAGTTAATGACTGTCTGGGCATTATTAGGCCATATGACACGGTAGATTAAGAGCCCAGAATACTGGCTGAAGGCAGGTAGCTGTGGGGAAAGCACCATATAGGTGTGTTTAAAGCCTATCTAAAGCCTATCCCATCTCATTCAATTGTATGTCTCTTCAACTGTAGTAATATAATAATTTCAAATGACTTTGAGTTACATCATTTCACTTGTTCCACGTAACAAGCCTACATGACTCATAGGGTTTGATTTTGATTTTGCACATAATCGTATATGTTAACTTTTTTTCTCTCTGAGAACAGGGTCTGATCTGAATGTAAAAATTTAGGCCAGAGGCTGAAATACAAGTTTTGCTTTATTAAAGTTATGTATCATTTTTTAGTTTCTTTCAATGTTTGTGAAATTATAGAAAATTTAGAAGAATGAAAATTTTAACTTACGTGATCTCTTTTTTACAGGACTTTCACATTCTATAATTTCAATAGTTTTGTAAGACTTTTATGGTAGAATTCTAAACCCTCAATCTCACATTAAATGTTTTATTATGGCATTATAATACTTTTTAGTTTTTAGATTATCTTACAGTGAAACTGACTTTCTCTTGGTGTGCGGTTCTATGAATTTTAACATATACGTGGATTCACGTAACCACCACCACAATCAGCACACTGAACAACTTCGAGGTACTCCTTCGTGCTATGTCTTCGTAGTCACACCCTCCCACGACCCTAATCCCTGGCAGCCACTGATCTATTCTTCGTCGCTCTAGTTGTGTCTTTTCAAGAATGCCACATAAATGGAATCATAGAGTATGCCATCTTTTGAGACTGGTTTCTTTCACTCAGTATAATGTCTTTGAGATTCACCCAAGTCGTAACGCATGTCAGCAGTTCTGTTTTATTGTCGAGTACGATTCAAGTGTATGGATGTGCCACAGTTTATCTACTTACCCACTGAAGGACATTTGGATTGTTTCAAGTTTTTTGGCATTTATGAATAGAATTGTTACAAACATTGTTTTTTTGTTTTGTCTTAAGTAAGCTCCATGCCCAATGTGGGGCTCGAACTCCCAACCCCGAGACCAAGAGTCGCATGCTGTGCCGACTGAGGCAGCCGGGGGTGCCCCAGCAACGTTCTTTTACAGATTTTGGTTTTTTTGATATCTTTTACTAAAGTGGAATATACAGAACATAAAATGTACCATTTTAACCATTTTTAGATGTACAATTCAGTGGCATTAAGCTATGTTCACAATGTTGTGCAACCATCGTCACTATGTGTTTCCAGAACTTTTCCATCATCCCAAACAGAAACTCTGCACCCATTAAACTATAACGCCCTAGGCCCTCTCCAAAAAGCCCCCGGAAACCTCTGTTCTACTTTGTGGCTTTGTGAATATGCCTATTCTAAGTGCCTCGCAGAAATGGAATCCTATGACACTTGCCTTCCTTCATGTAGCAGAGTGCCTTCAGCGTTCATTCATATCGTAGCATGTCTCAAAGTTTCATTCCTTTCTAAAGCTAATACTCCATTGGATAGAGAGGCCACATTTCGTTTACCCAGTCATCTGTTGATGGACATTTGGGTTGTTTCTGCCTTTTGGCTATTGTGAGTAATGTTGCTAGGAACATGGGTGTACAAGTATCTGAGTCTTTGCTTTCAATTCTTTTGGATATATACCTAGAGGTGAAATTGCTGCATCCTATGATAATTTATGTTTAACTTTTTGAGGAACCACCAAACTGTTTTTCACAGCAGCCAAAGCATTTAACATGTCCACCAGCAGGTGCAAAAGCTTCTGATTTCTCTACATTCTCAGCAGTACTTGTTATTTTCCCTTTGTTTGTCTGTTTGTTTTTAATTATAGGCATCCTCCTGGGTGTGAAGTGGTATCTCATGGTGGTTTTTGTTTCCATTTCCCTGATGACTAATGATGTTAAGCATCTTTTCATGTGCTTATTGGCCATTTGTGGCTCTTTGGAGAAATGACTAAACAAGTCCTTTACCCATTTTTGAATTAGGTTGTTTGTGTTTGTTGTTGTTGCCTTGTAGAAGTTTTTTCAAAAATATATTATGGATATTAACCCATAATCAGATCATGATTTGCAAATATTTTCTCCCATTCTGTGGGTTGTCATTTCACTCTCTTGGTAGGGTCTTTGGGTGTACAGAACTTGTAAATTATGATGAAGTCGAATTTCTTTTTTTCTTCTATTGCCTCTGCTTTTGATATCGTATCCAATAAGTCATTGCCAAATCCGATGTCATGAAGTTTTCTCTTATGTTTTCTTCTAAGAATTTTATAGTTTTAGCTCTTATGTTGAGGTCTTTAATTCTTATTGAGTTAATTTTTATGTGTAGTCTAAGGTTAGGATCCAACTTCATTCTTTTGCATGTGGATATCCAGTTTTCCCAGCATAATTTGTTGGAAAAACTGCCCTTTCCCCACCGAGTGGTCTCAGCACCTTCACTGAAAGTCAGTTGACCATATATGTGAAAGTTATTTCTGGGCTTGTTGGTTTTTATGTCTGTCCTCACTCCAGTATCACACTGTTTTGATTTATAGTAGCTTTACAGTAAGTTTTGAAATCAGAAAGTGTGAGTCCTCCAACTTTGTTCTTTTTCAAGATTGAGTTGGTTATCCAGGGTTCCTTGAGATTCCAAGGGTTTTAGGATGGGTTTTTTTATTTCTGCCAAAAATGCCATTGGGATTTTGATAGGGAATGCATTGAAGCTGCAGATTGCTTTGGGTAATGTTGTAATCTCAACAATATTATGTCTTCCAGTCCATGAACATAAATGGAAATGTCTTTCCATTTATTTATGTCTGCTTTGCTTTCTTTCAGCAGTGTTTTGTAGTTGTCATTACAAGTCTTTGGTTAAATTTATTCCCAAATACTTCATTCTTTTTGCTGTTGTTGTAAATGATACCGTTTTCTTGATTTCCTTTTCTCAGATGGTTCAGCTAGTGTATATGTATGCAACTGAATTTTGGGTGTGATTTTTGTATCCTGCAACCTTGCTGAATTTGTTTATTTTTTGTTTATTATTAATTTTTTTGCATGGAATCTTTAAGAGTTATAAGACCATGTTGTCAACAGATTATTTGGCTTATTCTTTTCCAATTTGGCTGCCTTTTTATTTTTTTCTTGCCTAATTGCTATATATAGCTAGAACTTCCAATACTTTGTTGAATAGCAATTGCAGAAGTGGGCCGCCTTGTCTTGTTCCTGATCTTGAGGGCCTTTAACAGATTTTGTGTGGGCATAAGTTTGCATTATCTTAAGTTTTCATTTCTCTAGAGCAGAAATGGGGGATGACTTAGCCCCGTAAGGGACATTTGGCAATGTCTAGAGACATTTTTGGTTGCCACAACCATTTTGGTTGATACAGAGGATTGTGGTGCTAGCATTTTAGCAGGAAGAGTTCAGGGATGATGCTATACATCCTAGAGTGCATAGGACAACTCCCCACAACAAAGAATTATCGGACTCCAAAAGTCAATAATGCCACTGTTGAAAAGTCCTCGTCTAGGGTAAATACCCAGAAGTGAGATTGCTGGGTTATCAACTATGTTTAACTGGGTCATCAATTGTATGTTTAACTTTACAAGATACTCCAAAACCTTTTCCATAATGGCTGTACGATTTTGCACACCCATCAACTATTTATGAGAGTTTTAGTTGCTCCACTGGAGCATGCTTGGTCCTGCAGTTTTTTCGTTTTTTTAATTTAGACATGCTAACATGTAGGTAGTGGTATCTCATTGTAGTTTTAACATATATTTCCCT